GGCCTTCTGCCACTGCCCCCCACTCTGGAACTCCAGTCCCTCCGCCTCGCCCCCTCCCTTGCCTCTTTCAAGACCCATCTCAAGACCCTCCTCTTCGACGGGCTTTCAATCATCCCGCTTCCCCCACTGCCCTCCACCCTTCCCGATCCCCAGCTTGGGTCTGAAACACTGAGTCCAGTACCTTGGGACAGCCTCCCGACGTGAAAAGCACTATACAAATGTAATTTTGTTGTTGCTCTCAAACTAACCACTGGTCAATGAATCACAATGGGTAAAATGGCTTGCTCCTGCTTTCCTATGAAGCCCTGATTTCTGCTCGGTCTCTCCTCCTGACCACCTAGCTCGCCATGTGATAACAGATGATTTGGAGTCTACCAGTTTCAAGTTTAGATGATATTGACCGAATGGATGACGAGAGCAGCATATCAAATGTCATGTCTTACTTTAAAAAAGAATTAGATTGATGCTTGCTAAAGAGGAATATTAAAGGTAAGGGGAGCAAGTAGGTGAGTGGAAATAGATGAGATAGGTAGGTCGCATGCATTGACTTGATGGCCTTGTTTTTGTGTTGTAATCTATGATCATAGACAATTGGAGGCATTTCAAGAGAGAGAGAGAAAGAGAAAGCTAGAAGGATATGATGAGGAGATGGATTCAGAAACTGAGAATCAAAAATGTTAGGATTTTGGGGTCTAATGGCCTTTCCCTGTTCATGGAGATTCTTATGTTCTAATGAGCTGCCACAATGAATCATAGAATCATAGAATTATACAGCACAGAAGGTGGCTATTCGGTCCATCGTGTCTGTGCCGGGCAACAAATCACTCCCACTCCCCCATTCTCTTCCCATAGCCCTGAAAACTTGTCCTCCCCAAATAATTATCTACTTCTCTCTTAAAAGTTGTTATCGAATCGGCTTCCACCACCCTTTCAGGCAATGTATTCCAGATCCGAACAACTCACTGTGCGAAAGCATTTCTCCTCACCTTCCCTCTGTTTCTTTTAACAACTATTATAAATCGGTGTCCTCGGGTTACCGACCCACCCGGCAGTGGAAATAGCTTTTCCTTGGTCACCCTATCGAATCCCCTCATAATTTTGAAAGCTTCGATTAAGTCATCTCCTCTTAACCTTCTCTGCTCCAAGGAGAATAATCCCAGCTTCTCTAGCCTCTCCTGATAACTGAAGTCCCTCATTCCTGGTACCATCCTGGTAAATCTCCTTCGCACACTCTCCAAAGCCATGACATCCTTCCTAAAGTGTGGTGCCCAGAACTGAACACAGTACTCTAAGCAGCGTTTTATAAAGGTTCATCATAACTTCCTGACTTTTGTATTCTATGCCCCTATTTATGAAGCCTATTATCCCATATGCTTTTTTAATACCTTTATCTACCTGTCCTACCACCATCAAAGATTTACTTATATGAACCCCTAGGTCTCTCTGTTCCTTCACCCCCTTTTAAGATTGTACCATCAGCTTATATTGTCTCTCCTCATTCTTCCTCCCAAAATGCGTCACTTCACATTTCTTACATTAAACTTCATCTACCACGTGTCTGCCATTTTACCAGTCTGTCTATATCCTCCTCACTGTTTCTTACTTTTCCTAGCTTAGCATCATCGTCAAATCCCTGTACCCAAGTCCAGGTCATTTATATAGATCAAAAACAGCAGTGGTCTCAATACCGCACACTTCGCTCCAGTCAGAAACACAACCGTTCACCACCACTCTCTGCTTTCTGTCTCCGAGACAGTTCTGTATCCATGCTGCCACTGTCCCTTTAATACCGTGGGCTTCTATTTTGCTTACAAGTCTCTTACGTGTCTCTCTTTAACGAAACCATGTTGGCTGTCCTTTATTAACCCATATTTTTCTAACTGAAAGTTAATTTTGCCCTGGATTATAACAAATGTTAGAGGAGTAACATTTGCACCCTCCAGTCCTCTGGCACCACTCCGGTGTCCAAGGAGAATTGAAAGGTTGTGGTGAGAGACTCCCCTATTTCCACCCTTACTTCCCTCAGTAACCTAGGCTGCATCCCGTACAGACAGGGTGACATATCTACCTTGAGCTCTGTCAACCTTTTTAGTACCTCATTTCTGTTTATTATTATCCTATCCAATTTCTCTACCCTCTCTTCCGATAGTTGGCATTGGCTGCATTCCTTTTCTTTTGCGAAGACAGATTAGATGCTAATTACTCATTCAGGTACAGTATATTCTGTGAAGTACTTTGAGATGTCTCAAGGACATGATAAGCCACTATATCAAACACAAGGATTATCATTATTATTATTCAGTTTATGGTGTGGTGGTGGGGTTGGAAGCAACACTGTAAAATTGCTGCTTAATTTTACCTTGTACATTAAAACTGTTAGAGGGGATCATTTCTATAGGAAATACCTCCGCTGCCAAATATTTAACCTTATGTCTTCCAAATTTCTATCCACTCCACAGACACCAGGCTGGTATGTGATGCTGCATTTAGCTTCCAGACATCTTGAGAACAGCTTCAAATAGAATGGATTCTCAAGTAGCCCAGGCTGCTGTTGTCTTGAATCTGTCCCATTTACTTTCCAGTATACCAGTAACAATTTCTTCCTAAGTTGCGTCCTGTAACTTTCCTTTTAGCCTCGGATCCTCCCTTATCTCCAGGGTGTCTGGAATGTCCAGTAATACTCCAAATTGCATTGCTGGTCTGTCTCTGGCCAGAATAACATGGTCCATATTATTCCTGACTTGGGACTTCTTTATGCTGATGTTCCACAACAGAAGTCTATTCATCAGCACTGATATATTCTCATCTAGATTTTTAAAAAAACAATACAATTTACATTTATATCACGCCTTTCACATCTAGAGGATGTCTCAAAGAGCCAGGAGCTGAAGAGGGTAGGAAGTGGGAAGATGACTGAAAGCGCAAGCACCAAATCATCCACAACCCGTCAGCCTGCATTTTCTCTAGAATAACAACAACAAGATTCCATTTATAGAGCGCCTTTCACGTCGGGAGGACGTCCCAAGGCGCTGTACAGTTGGAATAAGGCTCCAAACCCCATCTCCACTGGCTTTCTAACCCCCTTCGGATCGGCTTTGACATATTTGTTCTTACTTTCAAATGCCTCCATAGCCATGCCCCATTCCTACCCATACGATCTCCTGCAGTCTAGTCCACCACTACTAATTCTGCTCCACCCACTCTGGTTTGCTTTTTGTCCCCTGCCCCCTCTGCCTACCCCTTACTCCAATCCTGCTTAACCCTATTTCTGCTACTCAGCTCAGACTTCCACTTATTTCTAAACTTCTTTGAGACATTGTGTGTGAAAACTGTGAAGTAAGTGCAAATTGTTCTTTTCATTTCAGCTTTAAGCGTTAATTGCAGCAGTAAGTGCGTGGAACAGAACTAGATTAGCTCTGGTGTACAGACATCACTGGCTGGTTGAGCTTTAATTAATTAAATTGAATTTAAATTGGTAACCATCTGACTGCTTTGTGGTTTTGGTGCATGATTGCTTTTTAAAGATTCCAGGGCACTATTCAAAAAGAGAAGGTAGTGTTTATAGTTGATCTGGTCACCAGGTAAAATTGATCAGTCACTTCATGTCTGTTTGTGGGAAACTGCTGTGTGCAAATTGCCTGCCTGTTCATTTGCAAAATACACCATCATTACACTTAACAGTAAAAATCCCCTGAAGCTCTTTAAGATGTTTCAACAACGTGATATGGTCTCTATCAAATGTAATTATTATTACTCCTTGATGCTGTGATTCTTAATAGTGATTTTAACAAATTATCAGATTACTGTGTTCCATTTCATTGGATAGTTTGATTGCACTACATTGGCTATTATACCAAAAGTGGCTGTATAAATCATTGGTGAGACCATACAGTACTGTGTACAGTTCTGGTCACCTCAACAACAACAACAAAATTACATTTATAGAGCGCCTTTCATGTCAGGAGGACGTCCCAAAGCACTGAACAGTCAGGTGTCGGGGCCCGAGCATGGGGGAGGGGTGGTGTAGGGGTGAGGGAAGGCAGAGAGGTGGAGACCAAAGGCACGGTCGAAGAGCAGGGACTTGAGAGCGGCCTTGAAGGAGGCGCGGGAGGAAGCGAGGCGAAGGGACCGTGGGATGGAGTTCCAGAGTGTGGGGGCAGAGAGGCTGAAAGCCCGGCCACTGATGGTAGGGCGGGTCGGGTAGGAGACATGGAGCAGGCCGGAGCCTGATGAACGTAGGGAGCGGGCAGGCTCATAGGGAGTCAGCAGGTCAGAGGTAGAAGGGGGCAAGGCCATGGATGGTCTGAAAGATGAGGACAAGGATCTTGAACTCGATCCTCTGGGGATGAGGAGCCAGTGGAGTCAGACGAGGGTGGGAGTGATGGGGTCACTGAGCCTGGTGCACAGAGTACATGAGCTACAGAGTTTTGGATGATCTGCAGCTTGTGAAGGGAAGAGTTGGGAAGGCCGATGAGGAGAGAGTTCCTGTATTCGAGCCTTGAGGTGACGAATGCGTGGGTGAGGGTTTTAGCAGCCTGAGGGTGAGGCAGTGGCAGAGTCTGGAGTATTGTGGAGTTGGTGGTAGGCAGTGCCAGTCATGGCGCGGATGTGGGGGAGAAAGGACAGTTCAGGGTCAAACAAGACACCCAGGTTCCTGACTGGCTTAGTGAAGTTGAGTGTGCAGCCGTGGAGGCTGATGCTGCCAGGGCCTGAGGTGCAGAGGCGTTGGCTCAAGCCAATCAGGAGAGCCTCGGTCTTGCTGACGTTGAGTTGGAGAAAGTTGGCCCTCGTCCAGGACTTGATGTCGGACAGGCAGTCGGTCAGGACGCCAGTAGTCCTGGAGTTGAGGGTGGAGGCAGAGAGGTAGAGTTGGGTGTCATCCGCATACATGTGAAAATTTACCCCATGTCTGCGGATTACGTCACCAAGGGCCTCAGTACAAAAAGGATATTAAAGAAATCAAGAAGATACAGAGGAGGGCAATCAAAATGATTGAGAGAATGGACTATGAGGAGCAACCAAGTAAAGTGGACTTGTTCACACTGGCAAAGAGAAGATTGAGAGGCAACATGATTACTGTCTTTAACATTCTGAAGGGACTAGACAACATAGATCATGACAGGTTGTTTCAACTTGTCCAGAATAGTCAAACCAGAGGACACGGCCTGCGATTGAAAGGGGGTAAATTCAGAATGAATCTACACAAACACTATTTTAGTGAGCGAATAGCAAACCTGTGGAACTGGTTTCCTAGGGAGACGGTTGAAGCAGGAAGTGTTGATTCTTTCAAACGTAGATTATATTGTTTTCTTTTAGGAAATAACATGGATTTGTACTCTAAGCTATACATATATATTAGCTATTTTACTATAAATCACTAGCTTCCTATCACATGGATAATTGCTGTGAGCTCTGCGATTGTTGAAATGCAATGAAAAGCAGTTTGGAAATGGAACATCAAAATTATTTAGGAGAGAGCTAGACTATCATTAACCAAATCAGATTTCTCAGGAATAATTTATTCTATAATTATTATAATTCATACAAAATAAAATACAAGTGGCATTGTAAAAGGTACTATTATTTTAATGATGATTATTATTTGTTTATTATAAAAGTTAGGCTGGTACACTACCATCCAGCTGGTTCCCCACCTCTTCCAGACTGGCTGGTGTGACAGATGCAAAAGTGAATTTACTGCGTCTTGTCTCTGTGCCATCTCTGTGGAATGCACAGCTGCTGTTTGCTCAAATTCAGCATGCCAGGCTCGCCTAGGCAGAAGGCATGTGACCTTACTTAATATATAAGTGGAGCCCTGTAGAGTATTGGTTGGAGCACTCGCCTTGCAAGAAGAGGACCTGGGTTTGATTCCCAGGCAGGGTGAATTGACAGCTAAGTTTCCTTCCTTCACACGCCTCTGTTTACCTAGCAGTAAGTAGGAACCCAGTTGTTAGACGATTGGCGGATCACTTTTCCAGGGGTAACAATCCCTTAAAAAATAATAATGAAAAGTAATAATTTGGTCAATCAATCCATGACTGTTTGTGTTGACGCTGCTGTGTGCAATTGGCTGCCGCATTTCGTCCACAGTATATGCAGTCAATTCACTTTACAGTATATTAGCACTCTGAGATGCTACCCTGCATGGAGGCTGCTATATAAGTGCAAATTATTGTTGTTAAATTCTGTGCAGCGCTTTGAGACGTCTCAGCGATGTGATAAGGCACCATATCAAATTCAAGGATTATTATTATATTTTTAAAATATCAAAAAGACATTATACATATTTAGGTGAAGATTATTGGTGTTACAGTTGCAATACAAGTGATTTTTTCAGAAAATGATTCAGAATTTCTTTTCACACCTGAAATATATTAATCTATATTTCTTTTTCAGATAATGACTAACCTGCTGCAGATTTCCAGTCTTTATATTTTCAAATTTCCAGCATTTGCTGGGTGTTTTATTTATTCTGTTTAAGTCTAGGCTGACACTCCAATGTAATGCTGGGGGTGTGCTGCATTGTTGGAGATGCTATCCTTCAGCTAAAGTGTTAAACTGAGGTCTCACCTGTCTGTTCAGGTGGACATTAAAGATCTCACGGCACTATTCAAAAAGAGAAGGGAGTTTTTCCCATTTATTTCCTTTCTTCCCCACAAATAAAATTGATCATTCATGGTTGTTTGTGGGACATTGCTTTGCACAAATTGACTGTCACATTTGCCCACCAAATCCACAGTCACTACACTTTACAGTAAATCCTGTGAAGCGCTTTGAGACATTGTCCCGACATGAAAGATGCTACATCAAATGTAAGGATTATTATTATTTAATAACATCATACTGATAGACATAATAATTGTATTTATTTTGTCACTAATGCAACCATGGAACTATAGAAACTTGGGGCACAAAAAGCTATTTGTCCCATCGAGTATGTGCCAGTTCCCTCAAGAACAATTATTTTAGTCCCATTTACCTGCCCTTTCCCTGTACCACTGTAGCTGTCTCTTTTCAAGATATTTGTCGAGTTCCCTCTTGAAGGCCAATATGGATTCTGCCTCAACAACAACAACAACAAGATTCCATTTATAGAGCGCCTTTCACGTTGGGAGGATGTCCCAAGTGTTAAACTGAGGTCTCACCTGTCTGTTCAGGTGGACATTAAAGATCTCACGGCACTATTCAAAAAGAGAAGGGAGTTTTTCCCATTTATTTCCTTTCTTCCCCACAAATAAAATTGGTCATTCATGGTTGTTTGTGGGACATTGCTTTGCACAAATTGACTGTCACATTTGCCCTACCAGGGCATTCCATATCCTAACTACTCTGAGCAGGAAAAAACCTCTCCTAACCTCCCCATTTGCTCATTTATTAACTGTCTTAAATTGATAGCCTCCAGTTACTGACTCACTGACCATCTGAAAATAATTTCTCCTCATTGACTCTATCAGAACCCCTCATAATTTTAAAGACCTGTGTCAGATCACCCGCAACCTTCTTTATTGCAGGGGAAAAAGCTTCAGTTGCTCCAGTCTTGGCTCATGAATCATATCGCATAAGTGGAGTCCTGTAGCTTTTTTGATAGCATTGTCCACCTGTCTTTCCACCTTTAAGAATTTATGTTAGGTTAACCCCGAAGTCTCTTTGCTCTTCCACTCCTTTTAATATTTTACCACACAACATGCACTTGTTCTCCTTATTCTTCCTCTCAAAATGTATAACCTCAGATTTGTCCCCATTAAATTTCACTTGCCATTTCTCTGACCAATCAACTAATCTTCTTCACCATTAGCCATATTCTGTGTAGCATATTTCCTTCCCTTTTTAATAATAATGATCCTTGCATTTGATATAGCGCTCGATTACATCATTAAAACGTCTCAAAGTCCTTCACAGAATATACTGTCAAGTGGAGTGATTGTATATTTTGTGGGCGAAATGCGGCAGCCAATTCAGCACAGCAGTGTCCTGCAAACAGTCGTGGATTGAATGGCCAAATCATTATTATTTTTAAGGAATTACCAAATTATTATTATTCTTTAAGGGATTATTACCCCAGAAAGCGATCAGCCAATCGACTCACCATCGGGTTCCTGCTGTTTATTTTGAAACACTGCACACTGACCACCCCAAATAAATCCCAAAGGACTTCGAGATTTCCTGGCTTTAGTTTGCAGTGAATTTACACCAACAGCAGGAACACAGCAAAGGAGAAGCAACACTTGCAAACTACACTTTTAACGCCTACTGACCAGACATTGTTATCTGGGGGTGGAACAGTTGCATAGAAAGTACAGGACAGTGCAATGCTTTTACGAATGTCTCCGTTTAGCGAATGGTTGTGTGACCCACTCTGGTAAAGGCATGGAAGTGGCTCCTGATTTCATTCACGATCGGTTTGTGTTTCCAGTTGAACTACAGTTCCCATCAGACTGTGTGGATGATTCCCCACAGGCTCTCAGCCAGACAGCCCTGTGCCAGTCAGCCCCCTATATCTATCAAGTAGATGCGGCTCGAAGCTCAGTGAGGAACAGAGAGACCCACTGACTGGAGGGTCGGAGCTTTGCAGCGTTGGTGGGACAGGAAGGGAGAGGGAGAGAGAGAGAGAGAGAGAGGGGGGGAGAGATGGGCGAAAGTTGGTGATATTGACCAGAAGTGATGTGTTCACACACACACAGTCCATCACACACACACACACATTTTGCATTTCGCAGCCAGGACTTAGCGTTGAGTCGCAAAATCTGGTTTGAAACATGTGGATGGATGTAAAGTAGATCTGAGACAGGACAGGGCCAGGACAGGGACAAGACAGGGACAGGACAGGGACAGGACAGGGACAGAGACAGGGACAAGACAGGGACAGGGACAGGACAGGGACAGGGACAGGACAGGGACAGAGACAGGGACGGGACAGGACAGGGACAGGACAGGGACAGGGACAAGACCAGGACAGGACAGGACAGGGACAAGACCAGGACAGGACAGGGACAAGACAGGGACAGGGACAGGGACAAGACAGGGACAGAGACAGGGACGGGACAGGACAGGGACAGGACAGGGACAAGACCAGGACAGGACAGGGACAGGACAGGGACAGGGACAGGGACAAGACAGGGACAGAGACAGGGACGGGACAGGACAGGGACAGGACAGGGACAAGACAGGGACAGGGACAAGACAGGGACAGGTCAGGACAGGGACCAGGTCAGACCAGACCAGACCGTTAACAAGAAGAAAGAAACGAGGGGGGAAAAAAAAACCAAGAGGAATCGGGCAAAGAAAAGTGTGTCAGCATTTTTTTTTGATATAAAAAGTTTTTTTGGGGGGTGTGTGTGTGTGTGTGTGAAAGAAAAAGTGGGGGTGGGAGGGAGGGAGGGAGGGGGGGTGGGACAGGACAAGAGAGACAGACAGACAGACAGACAGAGTAAAGGGGAGAGCACTGGTGTCAGGAGGAAACGTGTGTCTCTCTCTCTCTCTCTCTCTCAGTCCAGAAAAAGGTATCGAGAGTTAAGACAAAACGCAGTGTCCGCCCAAAAACCCACCCGATGCTGTGCCCTCAGAGCCACAGCCACTGCCACAGCCCCACAGCCACAGCCTCCGATCCGGACCCGGACTGATGTGGAGGGAACCGGACTCGGGTCGACATCGGCAGCACAGCCACAGCCACAGCCACAGGGGAACAAGACAGGGAGTCGGTGTGAAGTGAAGCCGCGGCGTTGAGAGGCGACGCCGATTAAGGCGGAACAGCAGGAACGCGCGGTGCGGTGCGGTGCGGTGCGGTGCGGTGTGTGTTCGCCGGTGGGATCCATCTCTCTGATGCCGCGCCCCCGGGGCAGGAGGGCAGTGCTGTCGGTGTCTCCGCTCCCGCTGCCGCCCCGAGAATCCCTCCCCGAGAGCGCCGCGGCATCAGGAAGACTCGTATCATCGCCTTCGCCATCTCCTCTGCCGACCCCCACCCCCACCCCCACCCCCACCCCCCCCGGGCTCCTGGTGCCGGGGCTGAGGACCACAGGCATCGCCTTGCGCCGGGGCTGAGGATGGGGAGGGGGACGGGGCCGGGGCTGGGGCTGGGGAGGGGGCCCCGGACGGGCCGTCTGCTGGTGCTGCTGCTGGTGCTGTGCCTGTGGCTGTGCGCGGCAGTGGTGCACGGCAGCGGGGAGTACTGTCACGGTTGGTTGGACACTCAGGGCAGTTGGCACGAAGGCGTCCAGTGCCCCGAGCGCTTCGACGCGGGCTCGGCCACCATCTGCTGCGGCTCCTGCTCACTGCGCTACTGCTGCTCCAGCACCGACGCCAGACTGGACCAGGGGCTCTGCCACAACGACCTGCCCTCCGGCAGCGGCGAGGACCAGCCCGGCAGCCACGGCAAGGGGGGCGGCAACTCCCCGGCAGGTGAGGGGGGGGGGGGGGCGGCAACTCCCCGGCAGGTGAGGGGGGGCGGGGGGGGCGGCAACTCCCCGGCAGGTGAGGGGGGGCGGGGGGGGCGGCAACTCCCCGGCAGGTGAGGGGGGGGGGGGGGGGGGGCGGCAACTCCCCGGCAGGTGAGGGGGGGGGGGGCGGCAACTCCCCGGCAGGTGAGGGGGGGGGGGGGGGGGGCGGCAACTCCCCGGCAGGTGAGGGGGGGGGGGCGGCAACTCCCCGGCAGGTGAGGGGGGGGGGGGGGCGGCAACTCCCCGGCAGGTGAGGGGGGGGGGGGCGGCAACTCCCCGGCAGGTGAGGGGGGGGGGGGGGCGGCAACTCCCCGGCAGGTGAGGGGGGGGGGGGCGGCAACTCCCCGGCAGGTGAGGGGGGGGGGGGGGGCGGCAACTCCCCGGCAGGTGAGGGGGGGGGGGGGGGCGGCAACTCCCCGGCAGGTGAGGGGGGGGGGGGCGGCAACTCCCCGGCAGGTGAGGGGGGGGGGGGGGGGGAGGGGAGAGAGAGAAGGACAGGGGGGGGGGAGGGACAGAGGGGGGGACAGAGAGGGGGGGAGGAGGGAAGAGGGGGGCGAAAGGGACAGAGAGAGGGACGGGGGGGGGAGAGACAGAGAGAGGGGGAGAGAGACGGGGGGGGGGGGAGAGGGAGACAGAGAGGGGGGGAGAGACAGAGAGGGGGGAGAGGGACAGAGGGGGGGAGAGGAGAGGGACAGGGGGGGGGGGGAGAGGGACAGAGAGAGGAGGAGAGAGACAGAGAGAGGGGGAGAGAGAGAGGGGGAGAGACAGAGAGAGAGAGAGTACCTCTGTCTGAAACTCAGCCCTCATCCCGCACAGGTCGGGAAGGGGAGAGGTGATAAGCTTTCAAATGGCTTCTTTTCTGTTCCAATAATACCAAATTATTCTGAATAATTAATTATTACTGATGATGACGTGTTATTAATAATGAAGCATGATCAATAATTACAATTACGCGATACTTGTTAGTCACGACAGAGTATTATTAATAATTGCAAGCATTATTATTATTATTATTAATACTATTATTATTATTATTATTATTAATACTATTATTATTATTATTATTATTATTGCAATGTAACTCATACAAGAAGTAAGAAAAAGTCTCCCCAGCATTAGGCGAACCAAGCAGTTGACCGGGTTAAGACCAGTTGGGAAAGGTTAAATGTCTCTTTCTCTCCTCCCCGGACTTGTCTCATCCCCGATCAGTCCTTTTTTCAGTGGAGACAAGACTTTTGGAGAAAATCAAACTTTCCTAATCGGCAGTGTGTTTTTTTTTGAAACTTAATAAAATAAAAGTGGCAGCGACAGTGGGGTTTAAAGGGAGTCGATGATTGACCTGCCTTTGCACAGTGCAATTAATGGTCAGGTCAAAGCATGTTTGAACTAGACCTGGGCATATTATGACCTTCACACACACTCACACTCACACACACACACAGAGTTAGGTCACTGGAATCATGAGTTCACAGAGCAGATTAATAGTGTAACGAGGGAGATCTGTTGTGGTGCTTACTTAGATTGTCTTTTTTTCCCAAGAACAAAACACAGTACAGCAATAACAGTACATATAATACGTACAGGAATGTCAGTATATGTAGCATATACAGCAATCATAGTACACACAGTACAGTAGTCTCCAGGGTATTTCCTGACGTCCAGGGAACTGGTGCTGTCCGGGTGACTGGGCTTTGCTCCAGATCCCAACACCTCAGAGAGCTGTCAGACATGGCCATACCCAGGTTCACACAGACTCAGTTGGAAGTTATCTCCAAACTAAGAGCAGCCGCTTAGAGATACAACCGAGTCAACCTCCAAATCGTTTTTCTGACACCGTTTCTTGTAACTGGTGTATTGGCAAGAGGTGGAGAGGACATGGGGGGCAGTGGTTGGCATGGATTGTTGGGCAAAGCTGGATGGATGGTTGGGAAGCAGATGGCAATCTCTGTCTATCTCTGTGTCTTGCCTTTCATTCCACTGAAACGCGAACCATCCGCACTCAAGACGGTGTTTACTGTACCGTCATCGAAATAGCAAACGATCCGGCAAAGAAGCTCACCAAAATACACCCTTTACCTGCATAGCGAGTGGTGGGCTCTGCACCTGTACAGATACGTGTGCCATAGATATAGTGCCAACTGCTTCTGATCGTTACCTTGTCTGTTATATCACTGGGCTTTTTTTTTGTGTGGGGGAAAGATTCCAAACTAGATGTGGAATGCAATAGACCAAAAATGGGTTGCTCGTTGAACTAAATTTACCCAGAAAATATAGACCCATCAGCTTGATTGCTTCAGACTGTCCCTTGGAATAGAAATGGACAATGTGGATTGCAAAGAGCAATGTAACCATTCAACACTCCCTTATACAGACTGACTGGGGAAATGCAATCTCCATTGTAAAATGTGATCTAACCGCCGACTTATGTTAATATGTGTTTGGAAGTTAATTAAGCAAAACGACCACAAGTATGTGCATGTCTGTAAATAAGATTACTGCCCTCTCTCTCTCTCCCCCCTCCCCCAAAAATAATACACACAAACACACACACAAGATCCAGACACAAATGCAATAAATAAACCAGACAAAATAAATAATCCACATTCCCACGACTTTCCAGATCAGAAGGAGGGGAGTGGGTGGGGGGGGGGGTGCATTTCTGGGAGCAGGACTCCTTTAACTCATTCTCGGAATTTGTGTGTGTGTGTGTGGGGGGCGGGGGGTGGGGGGACTTTAAAATATAATGTAGTTCAGAAAAGTCGAGAGAGTAAGCGAGAGAGTGACAAGTCAGTCTGTCTGTCTGCTGTGATTAGTGAGGCTCATGTTCAGTGAGGTACATCTGCTCTGATCGATCGACCAGTCACTGGATGTTACACTTGGGCTTTAACCACCAACATTTGGTTCATTCCCCACCATTCCTGTAGGTATCTGTAGCAAAAACCAGTAACACGATTACACGTCGACCTCAACCCCGTCGGTGGTTCCCTTTTTATCTCACGTCCAAGTCCTACCTGTATTTCATAGTAATTTGGTGGCCACATACCTCCTTTATTTGATTCCTCGTTATTTGCTGTCTGCTCTACATTAATACAAATCCTTCAATTTAATCTGGAACATGTCATTACTTTTTGTTGGCATGTTATAAAGGCTTCGGAATATTTTAGCTGAGAATAGAAATAAATGCAAGTTTGTTTTTAAATCGTATCCAGTGCCCATTGGTGCCTGCAAGCATTTTTTTTCAACCATTATGGCCACAGTTTATGAGAGAAGGGGGTTAGGAGGAGGATCTATTAAATGTTTTAATGAGGTTATTAAACAATAAATTCTATTAGCAGCAGATTAGACGCAAAGATCAGGGCTCTGGAATCAATCAGTAACAGTTTGCCAGACATCAGACTGATTTGCCTGTTATTTCATATACTTCAGGGTGATATGAAAAGCCCCTTTACTTCTTGGTCTGTTCACCTCCAGAGATTAGATGTTCTGTTAGTCTTGTGACTGTCCATTGTTTCTCAAACTCCATAAAGTAACAGTTTATGTTTGGGATATATAATAATGATAATGATCCTTGCATTTGATATAGCGCCTCATCATGTCATTGAGACATCTCAAAGCATTTCACAGAATGTACTGTAAAGTGAATTGATTGTATTTTGTGGGCGAAACACAGCAGTCAATTGGGCAAGGCAGTGTCCCACAAACAGTGGTGGATTGATTGACCACATATTTTTATATAGGCTGAGATTGATAATCTAAACACTGTTGATTTTGGAAGATGTTATAGGATAGGGTGACCATATTTTGTAAAACAAATTCAGAGACACATAAATAAAAAATATTGAACTCACCCAAATTGCTGATGAAGCTCCAGTGCTGGAGAAGCTTGTTGGATTAAGGGTTGTATTTCTCTGATGACGGTATATGTTATAAAATGTTATTGTTCAGTCTGTTGCTGAACTCAAAACAGGGAAAATTTGGCCAGGGGACATAAGGATTCTCATAGGTTACCACTGTCCTGGAATGACATTAGACATTGCAACATGATGGCAGAAGGTTGTAGGTTCAAGCTCCACATCGAGCCTTGAACCTCATATAATCTGGGCTGACACACCAAATGCAGTGATGGGGGAGCGCTGCGTTATTGGAAGTGCTGCCCTTCGCACGAGATATTAAACCAAGGTCTTCTCTGCCTGTTCAGGTGGATGTTAAAGATCCCATGGCACTATTTGAAAAGAGAAGGTACTGTCCTGACCAGCAATTCCCCAAATATTGCTGTCGTGTTCACCCACAAAATACACCAGTCACACTACTTTATAGTGTATCCTGTGAGACTTCTCCACAAAGTGATAAGGCTCTGCTTTTGGGTTGTTGCTGTGCACAAATTGGTTGCCACGTCCACCCACAAAATACACAGTAAGTACATTTTACAATATATCACGTGAAGCGTTTTGAGATCTCATGATGTAAAAGGCTCTGTATCACTTGCAAGGATTATTATTATCATTCATCTACAAATACAGTCACTATGCTTTACAATCATTCCTGTGAAGTGCTTTGAGATGTTTCGATGACGTGATGAGGTACCACACCAAATGCCGTTATTATTATTATAGCAAGCCATACGTTTTAAAACAGAATGTTACAAAGCCATTTTCAAGCTAAGTGATTTGGAAAATAAAGTCCATTTGGATACTGATAAGACAATAAATATCAACACACGTCCAACATCCTGTGTCAGATTGAATGGTCAGATGAAGGGTAAACAGTACTATATGGAGGAACTGCTGGAAATGTCACATAAACTGATAATAGATTGGTCAGAGGGAATGGCAATAGATCGATCATCAGGAAATGAAATTTGACACAATTGGTCTGAATTCTTTTAGAATCTTTCAGAATCCGAACCTATTTATTGGATTGTATGACTGATCAACAACAACAAGTTGTATTTATATAGCTACCTTCATTCGGGATAGCTATTTGGAGTGCTTAACAGTGGCGGATATTGATGGTTGCACGCTAGTGTGCAACGCAACAGAGAATAAATGAAATGCATGTGGACAGTCTCAGTGTAGTTTGAAGTGGTTGCTGGTATGCAGCATAAAACTGCCCATAACAGACGAAATATTATCCTTATACACCCTGGGGCATGGAGAGGAGGAGGCGGAAGAGGGATTGCGAAATCCCTATTTTTGATATGTGGAGTACAATTATTGCAAGTGGTTTCAGTGATCACTGCTTCTCCTGGTATATAAGCTTTCATCCATTCTGCCCCTACTCTCTGGAGTCCTTTAACCTCATCCCCTTCCCATTTTTAAAGCCTGCCTTAAAATGATCTCTTTAACCTCAGTTTTGGTCATCTTTCCCACTTTCCCCTGTTCTCCTCCCTCCAGCATGGGTGCCCAGTCAGCTGAGTGAAGCACTTTGAGACGTCCTCCTGGCATGAAAGGTGCAATATAAATGTAAATCACATTACTGTATAGTATATGTTGAGGTTGTTGAAACCAGAGAGCCAATATTTATCATTCCTCAATTTGGAAACTATTTTTCCCTCGCGTTTCTTAAGCGGTCACATGAAATTCTCACAATCTTACTGGGATCCATCTGTTTTTAGCTTCACAATCTCTAAATGAAACTGGATTATAAAGTTTCTGAGCCTCAGGCAAGAGGAATAGAATTCTTAGGTAATCAGAACTGGTGATCATAAAGATCTGCAATCCCACCATTTGCGTAGATAAAGGTTTGCTGAAGTTAAGATAACGGGCTCCAGCTTCTGAGGTTTGTAAACAGGAAATCCAGATATGTTGCAGTCAACTCTTTGGAACTCTGCTCAGAAACTGACTTCACAGACAAACTGGGATTCAAACAAACAAGATCCCTCCAGTCCCAAGTCTGGTGCTGAACAAACCGAGGTATTCTTGATGATAACCCCAAATTCAATCCAAGTCTGAAACATAGGCTCCAGACAAATATACATGTGCAATGTAGATTACTCCACACGATCGTAGAAATCACAGCATAGAAGGAAGCAATTTGGCTCATCAAATCTCCTACATTAGATCTAAATACCGTAATCCCATTTCTCTGCGCTTTCTCTTTACCCTCTTATATTCTTCTTCTTTAGATGTTATCCAATTCCTTTTTAAATTCAGTTATGGTTTCAGATTTAATAGCCACTTGTGATAAAGCATTTTTTGTTCCAGTAGTCTGTGTTTGTGCTTTCGTTACTGATTTACTAGCCACTGGGGATAATCTGTCACTATCTATCCTCTCAAAACCATTCAGAATTTTGAAATGTTCTATTCAATCCTCTTGTAACCAAGCAGGCCAGGGACTTATTTACAGAGTGGAACATTTACAGAGCGCCACATTAGATCTGAACTCGGATAGGGCAAATACATTTGTATTGACAATGGTGTGCAGATAGCACAATCATAAGAAAGGTTTGGATGAAGTGGTCCTTCGGCTCATTTGTTCTCTCATTCGTCCTGGCCAAAAAAAACATCTAAAAAAAATTTTGTTTGTTCTGTTGTTAAATTTATTCTTTCTCCCTGTGGTATATAGGGAACGCTCTTGAGATGCTGCCCCATGTGAAGGGCGCTGTATGAATGAAAGTTGTTGTTTAACAATCCTTGTATTTGATAACAATCCTTGTATTCGAGACGTCTCAAAACACTTCACGGAATACTGTAAAATGAATTGACTGTATATTTTGTGGGCAAAACACAGCAGCCACAATATGCTACTTAATAGGTTTGTGTATTTCTCTTCTCTCTCCCCTAGAGCCAATCTATGTGCCTTTCCTGATTGTGGGCTCAGTGTTTGTAGCCTTTGTCATTGTGGGATCCTTCGTGGCCGCTTGCTGCTGTAGGTGCCTGAAGCCCAAACAGGAGCCTCAACAGAGCCGAGCTCCGACAGGAAGCCGCCTGATGGAGACCATCCCTATGATCTCGAGCTCCGGCAATCCCAGAGGATCGTCGTCGCGCCAGTCCAGCACTGCTGCCAGCTCCAGTTCTAGCGCCAACTCGGGGGCCAGGGGACCCCCTCCAAGAACACAGAACACCTGCTGTCTGCCAGCAGAAGGGACGATGAATAATATATACTTGAATATGCCGCCTAATTTTTCAGTGATGAACTGTCAGCAGGCAGCCCAGATTCTGCCACATCAGGCTCAGTTTTTACACCCTCAATATTTGGGATATGCTGTTCCACATGACTCTTTGGCAATGACCTCTACTGCTCCCTACCTGGAAGGATTGCAGAACGGATACCGACCAATGCAGTCCCCCTTCCCTCACGGCAACGGGAACGCCGAACAGATGGTATATACGACAGTAACTGTTTAACATGACGACTCTCTATTTTTGTAATATCTGCTGTGAGGAGGGGGGAGGGAGGGATCACAGTACAGGTCAGCTTTACGAAATGTGAGGAAAATTATGTCTCTTCTTAAGCAATGATTTTGTAAAAATTTATGTCAAGATTAGGTCGCGAAACAATCAAACAAATTCTTTACTAGATACACGTGCAAACAAAACGGTGTTTGAAAGAATTGATTCGTGCTGCTCGATCGATGATCGCAGTAGTGCCATGGACCTGATTGTAGTGAGTATACATTCAGAGCTGGCCTGCTGATGGTCTGGAAAATAATACAGCGGTCTCTGCTGTCAAACTGACGGTCAGTATCATTACACTGATCTTTAAGGGAGGTACACGGTGCTTAGTGTTATAGCACTGATGGTCAGTATTGCCCATTGATTTTTTGGGGGGATACTTGATGCTCAATGCTGACACATGGTAGTCTTCAAGATACATGTCGCCAATGCTGTAGCACTGATGGTCAGCTCCATCACACTGACAGTCTTGAAGATAGAGCCTTGTTACTGATCACATACCAGTGGTCAGTGTTCATCTTAATGACAATCATGGAAAATGCATGGCAGGCAGTCCTGGTCCATTGACTGTTACAAAGGTACGCAGCAGCCAATGCCTACAAGTTGAGGGGAAATAAAATATTTTTTTGGCTGATCAGGACCATTAAATGAATACTGTGTCCAGCCGAGTCATTTGTGTGTTTTATTGTATTTGACTCCTGCTTCCTCACTGAAAATAATTCTGATTTATAAAACCATTCACTGGCTGGCGAGTCCTTTTCAATAATGTGTGGCCTCAATATTTCTCCCTCCCTAGTCACTCAGAGTTTGTTGATAATAAAGGAAAGTCCAGAGTAAAACATGGGTCTTTTTTGCAAGACACAAGTGCTTTACCAAATGTTAACTTACTCCTAAGGATCTTATTAGATCTTACACATTCAGGAAAACTCTGTTTGTGAATCTGGACTAAGGTATTCTTCAATGAAATGAAAAGAATCATGATGAGAGTAAGATATCCTGTAGGATTTGTTGGAATGTTGATCTGTACAGCCTGTTATCACCTTCAATATTCAGGACCGCTAAAATAGGCTTTATGGATTCAGTCTCAGAAACATAACCTGCCCACAAATTCCAGAGAGTGAAATAATCTTTAATCAGATTATTCAATGGAATCCTTTACAGTGTTCCAGAAATTATCAACACCAACAACAACTTGTATTTATATAGTGTCCTTCATGCAGGGTAACATCCTGGAGCACTTGCCAAAGTTTAAGGGCTTCGCAGTCCTGTTATTTAAATTCTACAGTTTAACATTCTTCCCTTTTCTGAACAACGTGAAATTTAATTTTGTTCAATTTCATCATCTCGATTTCATGTGTGGGACTGCAGCTGCTACCAGCTCTGGAAATGTAACCTACAAGAACTCTCAGCTCAATCCCTGGAATAAATATATTACTTTGTTAGATCTTTAACTTATTTGGCTCAAATAATTTAGCACGAAAGTTAGGGGAAATTTCATATGTGATGCCTTTTTTAATGGAAAGTGCAAGTCAAATTTCATTACATAAGTACTTGACTGCTGACTTTGTAAAGATATGAAAAATTTTAAGATTCAGGTTTAATTAGTTTATGATGAACCAAGCTTCAACCCTTTCAGTGATTTTACAACACATCACAGAAGTCACTGGGAACACGCAGCATCTATGGAGAAAGGAAAGTGAGTCAACGTTTCAGGTCCACGAACCTTTGTCATAACTTTCCTTTCTCCATAGATGTTGCCTGACTTGCTGAGTGTTCCCAGCGCCTTCTGTTTTTGTTTCAGATTTCCAGCATCTGTAGTAGGTTGCGTTTTGTTACAAAACATCACGTTGGCCAGATTTGACATTGCACTGTAAAACCTGCTGTTGCAGTTGATCACTTATTTCAATGACCAGTGACAAAAATCACCAATGTATAAGGTGATGCCCTATATTTAGTGTTGTATATAAGCAGCTGCGGTATAACTCGTGTGCTGAATTATATGAAACATAAACTTATGTATACCTTGCATGACCCTTTAGAATCTTTGCAGTTAAACATGTATTCAATTTTTTATTGCTGAATGCCCCAGGGGGAATATCAAAATTGTTCGTTGCAGTCTCTAATGGAATCCAACTTGCAACAAATCCCGTAAGTACCCAATATGCAATTTAATTGTTTGCATTGAAAAAGTAAAAAACATGGCAACCAATGAACCTTTAAACAAGAAAATCCAACGGCTTTTGTAAAAAAGCTGACAGCAAAGTAACTAATGTGATTATGTGAGCATCAGGCAGTTGAGCCTCCAGAAGAGACTTTATTTCCGTTCTGTGACACTTGTTTGAAAATAATTATTTGCTTATAATTATTTCCGAAGTTTGTGTTATGGCCACAGATAACTCTGGGACGAGCAACCTGTTCCATACAGACTATCCCTGCCAGTATGACCAAAAAACAAGTTATGGTTCATTTAGTGTATTTGGTTAGTAGTTAATCTATGCAGAGTTGGAAAGGAACTAAGTTTGTTCCCTCGATTTGTGCTGAGTTAACTCATTTCAGTGAGGGCAGCAGTTGGGGAACAAGAGTTGACCTCAGCGCTTGAGGTTAAGAAGAAGGAAAATCAGCCAGGGTTCTTGCTCCTGATCGTTCAAACCGGCAGGCCCTTGAGACGCATATGTGTGGGTGTCCAGTGAGGACAATAACAATAATTTGCATTTACATAGAGCCCTTCTCACAGAGTAGCGTCTCAGAGGACAGAATTGATGTTGGCTGTGGCAATATGTATTGTCAAGACTTGCACATGAATAATGAGGTACCAACGAGCATCTTGTAAATGGAGCAACTCTAGCAAAGGAGTGAAATTCCTTCAGGAGAGCAGAGAAAAATTGTTGAGTGATTAAAATAAGAAACTAGCTTTTTCATCATTATGTTCCCCTGTCTTTCACCCAACATTCAGATATTTTCCAGTCAACACACAGGCATTTTTATTGTCCTTGTATGTGACTCTATTCCACTGACCATTCAGGAGGGTCCTGATTTCTCTTTGTCCTACACATGTAATGGACGACATTCACTCTTCTAAACCCAAATGGAAAATATGGCTGTTAATTCAGGTTGGAGAATACTTTAATTTTGTGCTGGTATTCTCCATGGTCTCACCAAGCAATGCGTCTCCTGGAACCTGGATCGTAACTCTTTCTCCCGGTTCTCCGTCAATGCTGCATTGATCCAGCTGTAAAGAGATGCACGAGTGTTTCGGGAGACATAACCTGCATTATCTGATGTCAGAATGCAGCTTGCTCAAACTCTTATTATACTGCACCTCTGAGGTGTCAGCAGGTGGACAACCTTAACACAATAAAGAAACGTGCTTGGTGACGTTGGCAATCTTTTTTCTCTCTAGACCAAAAGAAATCATCCTGACTCTGGACTGAGATCCTGTTCACAAAGCTGGTGAGATGACAATACCTATTCGTGTGAAGTATGAAATCTCTTCAGCCACAGTACTCCCCACACCCCCATCCCAGAAACATGCATTTCATCCATGTGTCCCTCTCTCAGTTGAAACTCTTTGTTACAGCTTCTTTTGTAATATAGAAATATAAATTTTTAGTGTGTCGGGACCTTGCAAGCAAACGCGAGACTGAATTGTTCAGAGTACTTTGCTGTGTCCAAGGCTGCTGCTGTACACATTCTGTATTATGTTAAGTATATCGCAAAACACAGTTGTAATATCCTCAAAGAGCATTTACCTTTAAGAAGTGTTTTTCAATACAATTTTAAATGGATTAAAACTATGTTTAGCTGTCCATTTCTGAAAAGACAGTAGGTTCGAGGGTTAAGAAAATGAATTACGGTCTGTGTGGTTGTTAAAAAAAGAGAATAATGAGATATTTGTAATGGAGATAGAGATGGAATAAATAATGCGCCTTGCATTTAACATTGCGCCATATCATGTTGAAATGTTTCAAAGTGCTGTGCAAAGTTTTCTATGAAGTGAAGTGACTGAATATGTAGTGATATACAGCAGCCAATTTGAACACAGGCAATAAGTTTATAATCAAATTCAAAGGGATTGTGGCCAGGACATCCAGTGTCGGGAAGATGTCTCAAAGCACTTCACAGGAATGATCAATGATTGATCAATTTTACCTGAAGGATTGTTGGTCAGACAGCAGACAAAACTCCCTGCTCTTTCCAAATAATGCCACAGGATCTTTAACGACCACCTGAACAAGAATCAAGACCTCATTTTAACATCTCACCCGAAAGACTACATTGGAGTGTCGACCTAGATTATGCGAGTTCCATGACACAACGTGGGGCTTGAACTCCCAAGCTTCTAACTTGGGGATGAGCGTGCTTCCCACTGAGCCAGAGTAATTGGTATCCCAAATGCAATTATTGCAACTAAATACTTCCTGGTGTCTGTCTTAAAAATGCCAATCACAGCCCTGAACCTCAGAGTTCTTGTTGCCTTGAGTATCTGAAAGTATTGTTCTCAGTTTACTTCATCCCATTTAGCATTTTATAGACATCTGTAAGGTTTCCTCTGAGACATCTCTTTTCAAGGCTGAAAACTTGAACTTCTAACACTAAGAATCATCCTTGTTGCTCTCCTCTGTACTGGCTCTAGGGTATGTGTTTGCTCCTTATGTTGCAGAGACCATAACGTACATAATACTCCAAATGCATCTCAAATAGAGCACTCTACATCTTATATATACAATCAACACTGCAAAGGACTTTTGGGGATCTGAGCTCAGTCAATTTGGGTTAGAATCCAAGTCCAGACTGGTGAGATGAATGTATTATTTGTATTATTTGTACCTCAGTGATTGTTTCAGTTTTTGCACAGGTCCATGGAAACATTGGATAAACGATGGACTGGAAAAAAAACCTTTCAAAGCTGCAAACGTCCATGCAATAAATTCTACATGTACTGCATGTAGTTTGACGGAAGGCTCTTGTTCCCAGTTTGGATGAATTATTTGCCCAGCGAGGCACTGGATGTGTGCATTAGAGAACTTTTCACTTTTTGTCAGCTACTGTCAGCCTTCAGTACTTACAGCTGTAACACAGGGCAGATGCAGGGAAAACGTTCCCCCTGCTCTGATCGTCAATCTGTCGCGATGAAGAAATTGAATTTAAATAGAAAATAGTGTTTTGTGCAAGCAGTCAGTCAACAGCGGGTTAATCCCAACCTCTTAAACAAAAGAGGTTGGGATTAACCTGCACCAGGGGTACAACTTTCATTTTCCAAATCAGTCAGTCATCACTTCAGGCCTCACTAAGACAGACGGCTAATTCAGTGCTGAATTGGGGGCAGTTTTGCACAGTGGATTCACATGGACCATAAACTGTGTTGAGTTTGTTCAATTTAATTTCACATTAGACCCTGAAACCCTGCAAAGAGAGAGGCCATTCATCTCACCAGTCTGGACTTGGATTGTAACCCAGGTCAATTGGTGAAAGGACAACTTGCAAAACTGTTGCGTCACCCTATAATATGAATCCTTTTAACAACTTTTGCCAATAGCTCGATATAAGTAAAACACTGAACTGTTTATATGAAATTGTACAAATGGAACAGTGGACCACACTGTTTAAAGCCCAATAGTCTGGTGACCTTAGCCACTTATTTTGCATTTAAGCATACAATATTTTTTTCTAAAAAAAATTGAATCTTCCCTTGTCGTTGCTCAGACCTGGAGGGTGGCAATTAAATGGTTCGGGGTCTGCTCATCTTTTGAACGATGCATAAAGGATTCAGTTTAAGAGTTTAATTCCAAGGCTAATTAATTCTTTTCATTCATTGGGAACATTCTACTTTAACCCATTACTGAAGCTTTCTTATTCCAATACAAAAAAACATAAGTCTTTAATTAAAATTCACATTCAGATGTGGCCATGATATACAAAGATAACTTTATCTGTCCCACGCTGCCAAGTATTGTAATCTTTAATTTTTGAACCAGCTTGTCGTTTCTAACTGTACAAAGTCACCACACAAATGCAAATATTGGAAGCTAAAATGCAAGCAGAATGAAAGGTGAGTACCATTACCCTATCTGTCAGACAAAATTAATATGATTCTGAATAATGGGATGAGCAGATGGAGGTTACAAGGCACTGACACAATTGAGGGATTTAGATAATAGACATCATCAAAGAGAAAATGTGGAGTGATTTATGTTGAGGTTTTATCTGCACTCCGAGATAACATTGGTGCATTACTGAAAGGAGTAGATTCTGAGTATGTCATATGGGGTGAGGTGGGTAGAGTGAATTCATGTCTCACCCACCACTATGATGGCATATGCCCATTGGAGCTCAGTAACATCACTATAAGGTGCATCCCTCTTCAACAACAGCAATGAGCAATCTTCATGCCATGCCAAGCCAAATCTGCTTTCAGTTGCTCCACTGGTGACTGTGGACAGTTTTCTGCTATGGATTTTTTATCCAATATTAATCTGTGCATGACATACCCCATTATCATGCTCTCAGTTCTAAAACCTTTAACCTTGGTTCATGTTTTTTTCAGGTTATGCTTGAACAGTGTCAATGGGATATTCACTGTAACATGCACTTCCTTATAAACGTCAAGAGTTTGGCTCTCAGACTCCATTGCAATGAAGAGCACAGTGCTTCATTGGTAGAATAACAGATATCCTCTCGTGACACATTCTAGGTAACATGATCGAATGGTTCTGATGAAATCATAGACTCCAGGGAGGTCAGGTCAAGCATTGTCTGAACCTTCGCAGGAACCCTGAGATAGTGTTACAGCCTTGAAAAACATTTCTTTCATACCCAAGAATTGCCAGAGGATTAAACATGAATTGTTGAAGTTATATTGCTGTAGAAACTGGTCGAGTTCACAAATCAATGCAAAAAAATGCACAGTGAATGGTACGAGTGTTTGCAAAGGGCTGAGTGTGACTGTGCCAGTGGATTAGCCTTTACAGCGTGACTAGAGCCTGACTGGAATGATACGATGCGACACGACTCACAATACGATATACTGCACTATATTTCAAAATTTTTATACTAAAGAGTAAAATGTCTCCACACGTATCATACAATTCTAACAATCTCATGACAGAAAGTAAGATGTTTCTTTTGAAAACTGTTTTTCTGCACTAAAGACTTGTAGTTTCAGGGCTTGATCCAGTTCTGCATCCGGATTACATGCACCCAACAAAAAGGTAATATTTCAGACGGTGCGTGAACAGTTGAAGAATCTTAATCAGTTTCCCTGGTGGCTTACTGGGCAAAGTCACTTCCAGTGCAGTGTATCACCGAATCGTAGAGACAAGAATATTGCCAGTTCAAATCTCTCTCTGTGTTGAGTCAACTGATCTGTCACTGGGAAGTTACAATTGGCCTCAGAGCCCTTGGTTTAGGGAGAGGGAAATTAGCACTCCAATCACTGTCGAGAGAGCCTGCTGTAAAGTTGTCAGAGGAAAGGACAGCTGAGGACAGTTCATGGTAGCAAAGTCATGGAGTATTATCTATTACTGCTAAATCCATGTTAATGACCCTCTTTAGATGAGAACCAATAATCTATTCAATGCTAAACTATTTTCCCATCAGACATCACATTCATTGGTAATTTCCATGCTTTAGTCTCACTCCTTTTTTGGACAGCAGAATAACATTTGCTCTCCTCCGGTCTTTAGGTACAGTTCCAAAAACATGAATCAAGTCTCGCCTCTTTCCTTCTCTTGAGGAACCTCGTCTGTTATCCTCTCTGGCCTAGTTCTTCATTGCACAAATTCTATGAATACTTGTGTTAATCATCCTTCTGCTCCAGGTTAATCCTAGTAATAATAATAATCCTTGCATTTGATATAGCGCTTTTCATGTATTCTAGATGTCTCAAAGCGCTTCATAGAATAGACTGTAAAATGAATTTGTGGGCGAAATGCGGCAGCCAATTGCGCACAGCAGTGTCCCACAAACAGTTGTGGATTGAAGTGACCAATTTATTATTGTTTATTTTCTTGAGGGATTATTATCAGGCGTGTGGAGTAACAAAACTTGCCCAAGGTTTCACCCTGCCGGGAAACGAACCCAGGTCTCTCGCTTGCTAAGTGAGTGCTCTAACCACTGAGCTACAAGACTCCAGGAGGCAAGGGGCAACCCCAGGCTCCTGTTCTCCACCACCAATTGGCTCCTCCGTCCTCCCTGCCATGCCTCGCAGATTCTTTCCTCCGACTCTCACTGTGAGAAAATGCTGGACTTCGAGTCCAAAATCGAGGGAATCCGCTCAGCTGCCACTGCCCTCCCAACATCCACACCCTCCCTACCCCCACACACTCCCGACCACTACTCATCCCTCCTTCCACACCTTTGAACCTGTCACCTCCTCCTCTGTCATCACCACCATACCCTCCATGAAGCTCACCATCTCTCCCTGGACCCCATCCCTACCCCTCTCCTTAAATCCCAGCTCCAACTCCTTGCCCCACTAGTCACTGACATCATCAACCTCTCCCTGTCATCTGGCCCTGTTCCTACCCCCCACAAAACAGCCACTATCACCCCCACCTTGAAGAAACCTTCCCTTGACCCATCACAGCTATCCAGCTACCAGACCCTCTTCAAGCTCTCTTTTCTGTCGAAGGTCCTTGAGAGAGCCGTTGCCTCCCAGCTTCGCTCTTTCCTCTCCTCCCACTTCCTCCATGAGCCCCTCCATTCGGGTTTCCATGCTGCCCACAGCACAGAAACTGCTCTGGTCAAGGTCACAAACGACATCCTCACCATGTGTGACCACGTCTCCCTCTGCCTCCTCGTCTTCCTCGACCTCTCCGGCGCCTTTGATACTGTGGACCATTCAATCCTCCTCCTCCGCCTCTCGTCCCACCTCAATCTTCAAGGTTCTGTCCTTGACTGGTTCAGGTCCTACTTTTCACACCACCGCCACTTCGTCTCAGCAGACGGCTTCTCTTCCAGCCCCCGCACTGTCTCATGCGGTGTTCCTCAGGACTCTGTCCTCGGTGCCCTCCTCTTCACCTTCTACATGCTCCCCTTGGTGACATCATCCACAGACATGTGGTAAATTTCCACATGTATGTGGATGACACCCAACTCTATCTCTCTGCCTCCACCCTCAACTCCAGGACTACTGGCGTCCTGACCGACTACCTGTCCGACATCAAGTCCTGGATGAGGGACAACTTTCTCCAATGAACATCAGCAAGACCGAGGCCATCCTGATTGGCTCGTGCCAGCGCCTCCGCACTTCCAGCGCTGGCAGCATCAACCTCCATGGCTGCACACTCAACCTCACTAATCCAGTCAGGAACCTGGGTGTCTTGTTTGACCCTGAACTGTCCCTTCTCCCTCACATCTGCGCTATGACCGGCACTGCCTACCACCACCTCCACAACATTGCCAGACTCTGCCACTGCCTCACCCCTCAGGCTGACGAAACCCTCACCCACACATTCGTCACATCAAGGCTCGATTATGGAAACTCCCTCCTCATCGGCCTTCCCAACTCTTCCCTTCACAAGATGCAGATCATCCAAAACTCTGCAGCTCATATACTCTTGAGCACCAGGCTCCGTGACCCCATCACTCACACCCTCGCCCGACTCCACTGGCTCCCCATCCCTCAGAGGATCGAATTCAAGATCCTCGTCCTTACCTTCAAGGCCATCCATGACCTTGCCCCCTCCTACCTCTGACCTGCTGACTCTCTACTAACCTGCCTGCTCCCTACCAACCTGCCCCCTCCTACCTCTCTGACCTGCTGACTCCCTACCATCGGTGGCCGGGCTTTCAGCCTCTCTGCCCCCATACTCTGGAACTCCATCCCACAGTCCCTTCACCTAACTTCCTCCCTTGCCTCCTTCAAGGTCAGTCTCAAGACCTTCCTCTTCGATCGTGCCTTCAGTGGCCCTCCCACCTCTCTGCCTTCCCTCACCCCTACTCCATCCCTCCCCCATGCTTGGGTCCTGACCCCTGACTGTCCAGGGCCTTGGGACATCCTCCGGACGTGAAAGGCCCTTTATAAATGTAATTTTGTTGTTTGTTGTTGTTCCTGAGCCAAAATAGCTGGACTTGGAATTTGACCATAATCTTCATTTATAGGAACTCATTGTCCTAATTTGTTTCAACATAGTCGCAAACAGTACAAAATGGGGGCGGTAAATCCATCGCGTCAGAAGAAAGATGGGCAGATAGTTTAGATTTAACCTCTTTGGAAAGAGAATGGTGAATAGTGGAGATAGAGTTGAGAGATTGGACTACCCATTGAGGAGGTGGAGGCAGACAGTGTCAGCGGATCCCAGAGGGAACTGGTCAACTATTTGGCAAAGAAGGGCCAAAAAATTTGGCTGTCGCATTTCGCCCACAAATATACAGTCAATATATAATCAATTCACTTTATAGTATATTTTGTGAAGCACTTTGAGACATCTAGAAAGCATGAAAAGCACTATATCAAATGCAAGGATTATTATTATTATTATTACAAGGATGATTACTATTTTTGATTATTATATATTAGTTGAGCAGTAAGAGAAATAATATTTGGTTTTGACATAGCTTCTGTAACACTGAAATGTTTCATAGTGCTTCATAGATAATTTTAATCAAATCTAGTGACTGCTTTTGTAGGCAAACATAGCAGCCAACAATCACACAGGAGTAGCCAATGAATCTCAATTCTCTTTTCCAGTCTCCAGGCTTCTCTGATTGAAAAATCTGCCATCTCTTGATCTTTTACATGTCATTCTTGGCTCACTTGGTAGTGCTCTCATTTCTGAGTCAGAAGGTTGTGGGTTCAAGCCCCAAGTCAGGACTTTGACTCCCATAGTCAAGGCTGTTATTCCAATGCAGTGCTGGGATGTCCTGCAGAAGAGATGTTAAACCAAGATCCATCTGTCTGTTCAGGTGGACAAAGAATGTCAACCTCTAGCACCTTTCACGTTGGGAGGACGCTTCACAGGATACTGTAGTGACTATTTGTCAGCAACCACAGCAGTCAATTTGCACTTAGCAATGTCCCTGAAACAGCCATGAAGTGACCAATTTTATTTGGGGAATTTGTTGGCCAGGACACTGGTAAAAACTTCCTTCTCTTTTCGAATAGTTGATGGGATCTTTAACATTCACATGAGCAGGCAGATAGCACCTCGGTTGAACGTCTCTTCCAAAGGACGGGACCTCCATTTTCAGCTGTTGTGGTCTTGCCGTTTCTTTTTTCCTCACGTGGATGTAGTTTCTCTCTACCGCCCGTAAAATGATCTTAAAAGAATACCATAATGTTCTTCTTTGTTAAAATTCCTTTTGCATCTGCATCAACTCCTCACTCTGCTTCCCACTTAATCCTCCTGAGATTTCTCACTGTGCCATCCTGATTTATGTTAACAAAAATGTGAGGTTTTCAAAACAGGAAACAATGTGCCAGAGATGCTTTATTACAACAACAGTTTTATTAGGATTTTTTTGGGTTTTGTTAACAAGCAGATCAAGTGTTTTCAAAAGCTTTAAAATAATTACCTACTGTACTCACTAACACCACTGCCAAACGGTTCAACCTAATTGGAATGCATTCCAAGAGATGGAAATAACCACTGCAATTTATTATTGTATTAAACCTACTGGAGGACATCAATGGGACAAGAAAACTGTGCAACACTGCTAGAAAAATATACACACCTACGGAGCTCCTGCTGCTCTGCAGGGAGCTAATTAACCATTACACCCACAGCGTCGCTCCATTCTGCAGACACAAAAACATAGTTCTAAAAGGATACTTTAAACAGCTCAACCTACAGAAGTGACAAGAGACGAACATTTTTAACCCAGTGATAAGCTACAGATCCAGGTTCTGTCAGTCTTACCAGTCCTTGGTAATTGAGAGGTTGCTATTAAGGAAAGTGGAAATGCTCAATGATGGGACTCCTGTGCTGGATACATACAGTTTTCTTCAAAGTCATGGTTAATGTAAAACAAAAACTGTGGTTGTCACATTATTTAGATTTTGAACATTAATAACGTTAATGGTAATGGAAAAAATAAAGACATCTCACAAGAGGCAAGAACAAATCATGCAAAACGACTTTTTTTTTAATTCAACATTTGTACATTTTTGATATTTCATTCCTATAGTGTGGAAAAGCTGGTCTGGTTCTATGCCAAGATCCGCTAAGTGTTAAACATAAATTGATTCCACAGCAAGCAGGGGCTCAGCCAAGGAGGTTAGTTCTGATCTCTTTGTTTCAAGTTTTAGATAAATAAATAATCCTTGAGTTTGATATTGCAGCTTTCACGTCGGGAGGACGTCACAAAGCGCTTCACATGATAACAATAATAATCCTTGCATTTGATATAGCGCCTCATCACGTTGTTGAGACATCTCAAAACGCTTCACAGCATATCCTACAGAATATAGTATATTCTGTGAAGTGTAGGTACTGTGTATATTTGTAGGCAAATGCCCACAAAATCTCCAATTCGGAACTAAAATTATAAGGGCATTCCAGTGTTGAATCATTCTTTTGTGTTAAAGGAAACAAATGCTTCTTATTTGCTATCTTTCCTCTTGTGTGCTCTCTGCGAGTACAGCACAGGTCCCGGGCAGGTGGGTGGGTGGAACAGACATGAGAAAGCAGCCTGCACAAACTCTGCTTCTCTCTGGCCAGTGCATCTCAGGCGTGCAGCCAAGGGTGGAATCTCACTCACTCAGCTACGCAACACAGCGATCCAACACTCGTTACCTTTCCAATATGCAGAGCGTCCCATATTAAATTAAAAATAATAAAGTCTCCCCCTCTCCTCATACAGACTATTGTGAATGAAGAACCTTTGATTTAGCCTGATTTTAACATTTCAGATGTGACGTGAAAGCTGCATCAGGATGTGACAAAGAATCATCACTGCAGGTGTTATAACAGAGGATACAAGAGAGAATTCGGGAAGCTGATCCAAAAGGGTTCATTACAAGCCTGAGCATCGGATCCGATCTCAGCATCCTATAGTGTGAGTAACCAGCTACTTTACATCAGATACTGCACTGCACGTTCAATTGACAAGCCATGTACGTGATTTATAATTGTTTTGCCCCAGCATGCACAACATCTCACTTAGGCATGCAGTAACTTCCACCAGGGAGGGCTTATGTGCCACCCTGCCTCCCCTTTTATTTTACATCTCCCACTTCCGAATGGGCAATTGAATACAGTCTTCAACCTTTTTGAGTGGATCAAATGAGATAAATACATACAGCATTTGCTCCATTCGACACATCCCTCCAACTCAATTACAAAGAAAGTCAGCCAACTGGAGATATTTTGGAATTTGTTTTGGGGGAGCCAGAGTTCCAACAGTTCCATTGGGTTCTGCAGTAGATACGGTACTGTGTTAAATGAGTGGATTTCTCACAAGCACCTACAATCAGACATCATTAAACGATCTAAACTCAACGGCAACACAAAAATAATTTTCTTACAGCATTCGATTTGAGTCGGTAGAGGTCAGTGCGAGAATAAATAAAAGTCAAGCTGGTTGGCTAAGGCCACAGAAATGAGGATCCCGTTCTTTTGGCTGCTGCTGATTATGGTCTGTATTGATGGCTGATGCACTTAGATATCTTACACGCTTTCACCAGTCCGAAGTACGGTAACGCTGCTTACTCTGCATCAACCTTGTTTTTGGTGGTGTCGTATGATCGGACGAGTTCTGACTGTGAAACCACACCATATTCCTCTTGAGAAAATGCATAACCATCTGCAGCATAAAAAAAACAATGATGAAAAAATGTAATACATAATCATTCCCCCCACGTTTCGCCCACAAAAATGCAGTAAATTCACTTTACAGCATATTCTGTGAAGTGCTCTGAGACATCTAGGGACGTCCTCCTGACGTGAAAGGCGCGATATAAATGTAATTTTGTTGTTGTTGTTGTTGTCGTCTAGAAGACGTGAAAAGCGCTATATCAAATGCAAGGATTATTATTATATTCCATTTGATAAGAACACCTTTCAAGTCACTATGACGTCTCAAAGTGCTTCACAGGATAATACTGTAAAGTGCAGTTACTTTGTACCTTGCAAACAAAGACAGCAGCCGTTTTGTGCACAGCAACAACAACAACTTGGATTTATATAGCACTCTCCACGCCGGAGGGCAAACAACTATGAAGTGAATGACCAATTTTATTTGGGGGATAGTTGGCCAGGACACTGAGAGAAACTCCCTTCTCTTTTTGGATAGTGTCATGGGTTATTTAAGTATCCACCCGAACAGACAGACAGATCCAAGGTTCAAATTCTCATCCGAAGGACGGTACATTTAATGATGTAGCACAACCCCAGCACTGCATTGGAGTGTCAGCCTGGACTATGAGTTCAAAGTGCCTATTTGGGGCTTGAACCCACACCTTTTGACTCAGAGGCGGGAATATTACCAACTGAACCAAGCTGATAGTGTTGAAGTGTTTGCTTTGCAGGGTCTATTTCTATCTGTTCTGAGGTCGGCGTAGTTTATTTCCACATAAAAACTTTTTTAAACTTCCCATTGTTGCTTGTAAGGTCTAAACTTCTTAATAGTGACAGCTCTTCAATTGGTTTTATTATGTTATTCCCATTCCTCTTCAACCCCTAGCTAGCCTTCAAATTCCACATTCATGCCGTGACCCATTGTGCCTTTCCAACTCTCCACAAATTGCCCATCTCCGCCATTACCTCTCACCGCAGGCTGCCAAGTCCCTGATCCACACTTTCATTACATCCCAGCTTGACTACGCCAACTGCCTGCTGACTGGACTTCCCAACTCTTTCCTCCACAAGCTGCAGATTATTCAGCACTCTGCTGCTTGTGTCCTCTCCCGCACCAGGCTCCGGGAACTTGTCACCCCTGTTCTTGCCCAGCTTCACTGGCTCCCCAGCCCTCAGAGAATCGAGTACAAAACCCTCATTCTTGCCTTCAAGGCCCTCCACTATCTTGCTCTCCCCTACCTCTCCGACCTCATAACCCCATATCAGCCAGTCCGCTCCCTCCGCTCGGCAGCCTGCTTCAGGTCCCCCCACTTCCTGCCCCACCACTGATGGTCAGGCATTCAGCATCTCTGCCCCCACACTCTGGAATTCTATCCCACAATCCCTCCACCTCACCCCCTCTCTTCCCTCCCGTCTGAAGACCTTCCTCTTCGACTGTGCCTTCAGCCACCCTCTCCCACCACACCCACCCCCTACCCCCCTCCCTTTCTGACCCCACATCCCAGCCTGGGTCCAAAACCTGATTGTCCAGTGCCCTGGGACGTCCTTCTGACATGAAAGGCGCTCTACAAGTGTAATTTGTTGTTGTTGAACCCTGCAAGTCAAAGCCCTAACAGGTCGGGTGATTGTAGATAGACAAGCAGCAGGAAGCTTGCTAGTCAGTGCTCTCAATGGCAAGCTATGCAATTATTAGCTGGTTGAACTCCAGCAGTATCATAACGCACACTGGGGTCCCTGAGCCATAGCTTTTGCCAACCTACGTCTAATGGTTTCTGGAATTAGGTAAGCAAGATGTATTAGGTCTTTCTCTTCAACCGTGCCTTCAGCTCCCCTCTCGACTCTCTACCCCCTCCTCGCTCCCTCCCTTCCCTCCCCTCACCCTGATCATTTCGCCCCTGCTTGGGTCCCAACCCAACTGTCCAGCCCCTTGGGAGGTCCTCCCGACATGAAAGGCGCTCTAAAAATGAAATCTTGTTGATGTTGTTGTTGTAGGTGGCATACATATGTGGTACTCTGTCTGGTTTGGATACTCTTAAGCATTATGATGGGTTTATGCATGAGTCAGCCACCTGTTTGATAAAAACAAACTCCTTTCACCAAAGGAATGTGATCACATCATTCCGTATTTTACAACATTATTTTGCTTGAGTAATTTCGCAAAGTATTCACAGACAACAAGTTGCTGCTGATTTCAATACTGCTATATCACAAGACTGCCAGAGATGACAAAGGGAGGTTTGGATAAAGAAAGCCCTTTAACTAATTTGATCTAATCTTTTTAGAACAGCAATCCTACCTTTTTAACCATTATACCATAAAATTGTTTGTCAAATGAGTCCAGAGTTCCAGCCTTTACCACTCTTTTTGGTAACTTGTTTCAGCTGTAAATTACTTTGTGGTGTCTGTCCCAAATTGCCCTTCATGACCCTGAACCTGTGCTCTCTTGTCCTGATGCCCTTGGGAGTATCTGAAAATAGTATGTGAATGCTGTGAGCTTGGGACCTCATTTTAACGCATCGATTATAACACTGGTAGTGAGGAGTTCAAAATATAAATACATCTGAGAACAAGATGTCCCAAACTGCAAAGTTCTACCAGGGGGCGTCATATCTCTCCTCGCCACTCCTTCAGTTCCAAACACTTAAAAGAGAATTTCATGAATATTTCACTCAACGGAGCCCACTCCATCCTCTGGTGCTAATGACCATTGTTGAATGGAGGCCGGCAGATGTGTTTGTAGATCTGGCCACTTTGCTCACAGACTTTTTCTGTGGTTCCTACATCGCTGTTGTTTTTGGGCAACACAGCTCCCCCCACCCACCTCCCCCGCATGTGCGTGCAAGGTACATAATATTACCGAAACGAGAGATCCGACACTGAAAAGTGTCCAGTGAAGTTTGCCACCGGGGAAATGTACAGTCTCTTCATTACATGGCTGCCAGGGATAGTTCCCCTGGTGTCAGCCCCCAATAAACCTACTAACAGGAAGGCAGCAGAACACAGCAATCCTCAGTCACCCTCAACAGAAATAAGCACAAGACAGCTGCTCAGTGCCCTGAAGAGGAAGAGAAGGGTTGTTTCTGTTCAAAACAATGCACTCGTGTGTCTGTGTGGTCGTGGCATTTTCCCAGGTTTGAAATAGCTCAGCCAAAGTTTTACTTAGAATCCTGACAGGCTAGTCGCCTTGACCTTTACACCTTTGGAGGATGTGAATCTCTACGTTTCCTGCTGGGATACTGTGGGTTATTTTGCAATCGATATCCTAAATGGTTTAGAAATAATAGGTACATTATTCAACGGTAAGTTTCAGATTCTTCATTATTTCACTGAAGTGATCCTCTGAGCCCCAACAGCAAGGTCAGCAGGGGGAATCATAGGGGACCCTGTTTCTTAGAAGACTTTTCAAGCGGAAACTATGTAATTCCTTGCCCTTCCTGCTTCTCATAGAGCTGGGCACAAGCATGTGTAATTGCTGGTCTTGTTTCCCAATTTAATTCTTGATTTTAAGCGCTGCTCGCAAAATTGCAAAACAACATTTTGCGTTGGAAGAGAAGAAAAATATTCTAATGACAAACTAAAGATTGTAGATTATACTTCAGAAGTATCGATTCCCGACTTGGGAGAAAGGGATTTATGAATCCTGTTCAGTACGGCTTCGATACAATATGAGGTCCTAAGTTCATTTGCGGGGGTCAGTCAACAGGCACTGAAATTGCTCTTGAGGTAAGCAGTATAGTGACAGTACTTCACCCTGACATGGTTCCCAGCACCGGTTTTATGCATTTCCCTGTCTAGAGGAAAAACAGGATACTGCATGTCTCAGAACAACTGTGACCCTAGTAATGATGCCATTCAGGTAGAGGCAGAAGGGACGATGGGGATCAACCTGCTTTGACATCTTGTTGTGGAGCTTAAACTACATAGAATCAAAGAATCTTACAGCACAGAAGGAGGCCATTTGGCCCATCGTGCCTGTGATGGTTCTTTGAAAGAGCTATTCAACTAGTCCGACTCCCCCGCTCTTACCCCATAGCCCTGCAAATGTTTCCTTTTTAAGTACCTATCCAATTCCCTTTTGAAAGCTATTATCGAATCTGCTTCCACAATCCTTTCAGGCAGTGCAACTTTCTGGTTAAAACATTTCTCCTAGTTTCATTAGTTCTTTTCCAATTATCTTAAATCTGTGTCCTCTGGATACCGACCCACCCACCAGAGGAAACGTTTTTCCCCTATCTACTCTTATCAAAACCACTCATAATTTTGAACAGCTCTTATAATAACAACAAGAAGGGTGACGACATTAAAGTTGATCTGTTCGAAGACAGGGAGCCAATGGAGCCAAGGATAGCAGTGGTCGGCGTACGGAGTTTGGTTTTACGGAATTTACTGTAAAGTGTAGTAACCGTGAATGATCCAGACAATATTTTTGTGTGGTGAAAAGCAACTCTGAGGAGAAGTTTGAGGCGATGCGATACTCACGTGAAACACCTTGTTGGATTGAGTTGCTGTGGCTGAGGTTGGAAGGGTGTTTCTTGAACACTCTCTTTAGCAGGTAAGCACGTTCATTCAGACTGGGGGGAGAGAAACAAAGAACATTTGAAGCCCCACAAGTGAACAGCAGGGCTTTTACCTGTTAGCTCTGAGAGGCCAATCTACCAAACATCTGCACGAGAGATTCAAAGGAAGACAAACAGAATTATTCACACTTGGCTACACCATCCCTGCTGGCTCAATTGTTTCAGTAATTAAAAATAATCCTCTCAACCAATTAAGATAGTGGGTACCAATTGGCATGGATTATCTTTGCTAACAATGAGTGGGATTGTTCCTAATAGTCTCCTAACAAATGCGTAATTGGCTGGCCACAAGTAAAGTAAATCTTCCCTGAAGAGGCTCCTGAATATGATTTTCATAAAGGGTCGTGGATTGGGGTTTCTTGTGGATAATTACTCGGCAATTCATTTAAAAAAAGCAGTTAGTTTTAAATTATCCAAGTTAAGGGCTCCTCTGCGGACTGCATACACAAAAGTGGGACATAATGAGTGAAATCCCTGTCACTGGCTGTCCTGCCTCGAAATAGAGCAGTCAATGGGACTGGTCTGTTAAGGGAACTGTGGTCGCATCTTTACCTTTCAATGTCAATAAAAACAGGCAAATGTAACAAACAACTGCGGTCATTCTCTGCACGACGCTGCTTTTGGAAGCAATAATACAGAGCAGGTCTGTTGTAAATTGCGGAGGGGTGTCACCTCACCTAGTGCCAGAGCCAGGAGTTTTGAATTATTCCTATAAATAAGCAGTGGTTGGAGGTGGAGGAGGGAGGAAATAGCTGGAATAGTCCATACCTGAGCAGCAGGAGCCAGACAGAGGCTGAGGGACATGAATTCAGTGTGAGTGGGTGGGACACACTTAGCTGCTGTTAGTTGAAGCAAGCGCAATTTCTGTAAATAAGTTTATTGCACTGTATTGTGCCCTGCGATCCACTGTAAAATCCTTATTCTGTAATATTCATTGTGATCATTCATCTCACATTCTGTTGCTTGGTACTCGCTCAATATTGTTTTTGGCTGTTATTTTACTTACGACTGTTTTATAATCTTGTTAAAATTGCTGCTGAGTCCCTGCCTGTTTTTACGTGTTTTACAGAGGCAGTCTGTGTCTCCCACTCCACCCGGCTCTGAAAACAATTAACCCTGTCAGCTCCTGAGCTTTTAAGTATTCTTAAAAAAGAGAGATGGGGGGAGGGGGTCTTAATTTGCAGCATTGCTCAATAGGATGAGAATCTCCAAATAATTCCCAGTTAACAGCACTCCAGATTGTGTGGGAGTGACGTCTCCATCAGATCAGTGTGACTGTGTTTCGCCCACAAAATGTACAGTCAAATAACTTCAAAGTATATTCTGTGAAGCGCTTTGAGATGTCTGAACGATGTGATGAGGCGCTATATCAAGTGCAAGGATTATTATTTTTACAGTAAAATTCGCATAAATCTTATCGATATAAATTGTATAATCCCCTAAATCGTACAATTGCCCAAGGCCTGTTCAAGAGATTATATTTTACGGGAATTTGACATAACTCATACTTTTGCATAAATCATATTAAATGTATGGTCCCAACTGATACAATTTATGTGATGTTTACTGTATTATTATTTACTCCCAGTTACTGGAAGGAATTCCCCATTTGTGTGACTCACATTCCTTATGAAAGAATCACGTTGCGAGATTAGACCTTTTCACGTCCCTTTTGCCTTTCTCCACGTGACGTACCCCACCAGAGAGAGCAAACAGGATCCATTTCCACCCTTTTAATAACTAGGCATTAAAAAGTTCCTTGGAACAAAGTGAGGCGACTCCTGAACATAGCCTGATCTCATTTGAACTCTTTCCCATAACCAGATATCCATTGTCCGGAGCATCACTCCAAAATGCACCTCATTGTCCCACTTGTGGCTAAAGGCCAGTTGTGCCCCTCACCTTGCTATTTTAGTACGAACAGCAACATTTTAGTTGGTCAGGGAAGGGCAACATTTTTAATAATGGGCATCTTTTTAGCCTTAATAGTAATAATCAGTATAATCCTTGCATTTGATGTAGTGCCTTATCACATCATTGAGACGTCTTAAAGTGCTTCACAGGATGTGCTGAAAAGTACAGTGACTGTGTATACTGTAGGCAAAATGGCCTTCTTATTGATTACTGGGTTCTGTCAATAATACTAATCCTTGCATTCAATGTAGCGCCTTACCACGTCTTCGAGACGTCGCAAGGCGCTTCACAGAATATACTGAAAAAGTGAACTGACTATATTTTGTTGGCAAAATCTTAAAAGAAACTATTTTTTTTTAAAAATCAGTGAATTTTGATCATCCTTAGAGCACTGAAGAGTTAAATGCCCTGTTTAGATGTAGTCCAGTGTTAAAACGAGTGTCGAGTTTTCTTTATGAAGAGAATCTAATGTGGCACGTAAAATAAAAAGGCAATGAGTGAGGCTCTGATGGCAATTAAATGTGGCCTGTTGAGGCCAAGTGAAGGGCAAAGAGCTTTCATTTCAACCTTGTGTCATAGGCGTACCTGTAATTATTTATTTACAACATTTTAAAAGAGAATGAATCCTCCCTCCACCCAACCACAGCCCTGCCATGAAACCTTGCATGACAAGCATTTCACAACGAGCTTTGATGCTGTCGTTTTGTATCGGGCTTGGGAAAAGTGCTTCTGTAGTCAGCCCCCTATGCTCACAATAAGGGCATTGAGAAAACAACACTTCAAGAGCACCCGGAGTGCTGGGTAGGTCATGGCTGGGGGTCAGAGCTACAGATATAGCAGGGGCACCCTTTTGGTATTCATGAGGTGACTGACGAAGATTTCTACACAGATCAGAAGGATTGGCATTTTCTGTGGGTTCGAACCAACAAAACACGTCTGCTCCCCCACCTCTCCACCCCTCTCAAAAAAAGGATAAATTATACCACCATCAAGATACACACCCAAACAACTATGTTAAACAGACTGTGACATTTTGGTTTATATCCACAACAGTGTTCTCACTCCCCCTGTTTTTATTTGGATTAACAGACTATAAAGCTAACAATTGTTCATGCTAATGTGATGGCCACAGCCTGAAATATCTGGTTAGCAGCCCTAGCAGCTTGAGGTTTGCAGTCGCTGGGCCAAATTCCTTAATCAGAAACAAGGAGATTGTGGTTACACATCCTGGCAGACAGTGTGCCGAGCTAAACACAAGTATCACAGAAGCCAGCAGGGGTACCCAGCAGGGTTACTAATGGGGAGAAAGGCAGCATGTAGACACACACACACACCACCGACATCACTGTCAATGCAGCCCGTGTCCGACCCCGACCCCTGTATCATTCAGAATTCAGAGAATCTTCCAACTGAGGGACAGCAGGAAAACCCACAAAAGCCTGTCTGAATTCTTGAAAGGCAGAGAGTAAGCAGGTGTGAAGGAACTGTGCAAGAACAAAGGGGGGTAAAAAGGAACATCACAGAAATGAGAAGCAATTGGAGACCAGAGCACAAGTAAAAGGACATGGAAAACCATTGACTAGTTTAGTCACACCATTATCTGGTTCACACGAGGACCACACAGAGAATCCGTGAGCAATTAGTGAGAAAGAGAGAGAAAACCAACACAGGGGAGGGAAGATGGCAGTGGTTACAAGTCTTACATGATCTCCAGTAAAGCATTTCAACAGCCAAGTGAGTCTGCGTGGAAGCATGCAGATGGAAAAAGTTTTGAATGAGCACGTTACATATGCAAATACAACGCAAAGTGCTCCGAAAAGGTGGCGGAATTAAACAAAACTTTTACATGCAGCAAACAGATATTCGGAATTAAACAAAACTTTTACAATGCAGCAAACCTGAGGGCAAATTTTCACCTTGAATTGACTGTATAATTTTATGGGCGAAACGCAGCAGCCTATCTGCGTTTGCGACACTGAGATGTCTTAAAACGCTTCACAGAATTTTACTGTTAAATGTAGTGCCCGCTCATTTTGTAGGTGACTTGTGACAGCCATTCTGTCCCACATTACGGGCTCGAAGTGAATGATCAGTTTTACCTGGGAGCTTGTTAGCCAGGAGAACAATGTGACATAATAGAATAGGAACATAGGGAAACTAGAACAGGAGGAGGCCATTCAGTCCGTCAAGCCTGTTTTACCAGCTCATTAAATAGATGGAATTTCATTTTATTTTTACTGGTTATGTTCATCCATTCATCCAGTGCGTAGCTAACAAACAGGCTGACTCGACATTCACATTCATAAAACATGGTGTGCTGGGCATGGAAGGGAAATGGGAGATTAATGCATAGATGATGTTGTACACATAACCTAGTGATCAAATCTGCCCTCACGTGGCCTGAATCTGTACAATTGGTATAGAATCAGCTGAAAACACACAGCAGGGTAGCACCACGAAGATCATTCATGTAATTCTACGTTGGGCCAAAGAAATCAGAAGACACAAAGAAAGCAATCGCACTCTGAAAGGTAATATAATAGTCCTGTTGCTCAGTGGTTAGAGCACTCGCCTCGCAATCGAGAGACCTGGATTCGATTACTGGCGGGGCGAAATGTTGGGCAAGTTTCCTTACTCCACACGCCTCTGTTTACCTAGCAGTAAGTAGGAACCCAGTTGTTAGTTGAATGGTAGATTGCTTTGGTCACTCAATTGGTCACTTACTCCACGACTGTTTGTGGGATACTGCTGTGCGCAATTGGCTGTTGTGGGGTTTCGCCCACAAAATACGCAGTCAATCCACTTTACAGTATATTCTGTGAAGCGCTTTGAGATGGCTCAAAGATGTGATAAGGAGCTATATCAAATGCAAGGATTATTATTATGATAAGAGATGATAGCACAAATAGCAGCAGCTGCAGTGAAAACAGCTAACACACTCTGAAAGTCCTGTGTGAATCAAGTATCAAGTTAACATGGGTAAAAGTTGCAAACTTCTGCTGGGTGGTAAAGAGAGTTTAAAGGAAAGTCGTGGCTCCATATGTACAATTAACCTGCAGAGCACTGCTTCATCCACAATA